AAAATGGGAAGTTGTCAAAAATGAAATGGAACCCATATCTTAGGCATTAGTGAGCTGAAATAGACTGGTATTGGTCATTTTGAATCTGATGATCACATGGTTTACTATGCTGGAAATGACAGATTGAAGAGGAATGGTGTTGCATTCACTGTCAAAAAGAACATATCCAGATCAGTCATGAGGTACAAAGCTGTCTGTAATAGGATAAAATCCATTCATCTACAGGGAAGCCCAGTTAATACCACTATTATTCAAATTTATGACCAACCACGAAACCTAGTGAGGAAGATATAGAAGAATTCTATCAACTTCTTCATTATGAAATTGATCAAACATGTGATCAAGATGTATTGATTATTACTGGTGATTGGATGCAAAAGTTGGGAGCAAAGAGGAAGGATCAGTAGTTGGAAGATATGGCCTTGGTGATAGAAATTATGCTGGAGAATGCATAATAGAATTCTGCAAAACAAATGATTAGTTCATTTCAAATACCTTCTTTAGACTGCATAAGAGACGACTATACACATGGACCTCACCAGATAGAATACATAGAAATCAAATTGACTACATCTGCAGAAAGAGAAAAGGCTCCATATCATTAGTGAAAACAAGGCCACAGGCAGACTGTGGAACAGACCATCAATTACTTGATGCAAATTCAAACTGAAGCTGAAGAAAAGGAAAGCAACTACAGGAGAGCCAAAATATGACCTTGACTATATCCCACCTGAATTTAGAGATCATCTGAAGAACAGATATGATACATTAAACACTAAAGACCAGAAGAGTTTTGGGATGATATCAAGAACGTCATACATGAAGAAAGCAAAAAGTTATTATGAAGACAAGAAAGAAAGAAAAGGTCAAAATGGACATCAGAAGAGACACTGAAACTTACTCTTCAGCGTAGAGATGCTAAAGCAAATGGAAGAAATGAGGAGGTCCAAGAGCTGAACAGAAAATTTCAAAGATGAACTCGAGAAGATAAAGCCAAATATTACAACAAAATGTGCAAAGATCTGGAATCAGAAAACCAAAACGGAAAAATATGCTCAGCATTTCTCAAGCTGAGGGAACTGAAGAAAAAACTCAATCCTCAACTTTTGTTATTGAAAGATTCTCTGGGAAATTTTGAATGATGCAGAAAGCATCAAGAGAAGATGGAAGGAATACACAGAGTCACTGTCCAAAAGGAAATGGTTAATGTTCAGCTGCTTCAAGAGGTAGCATATGATCAAGAGCCAATGATACCGAAGGAGGAAGTCCAAGGTGCATTGAAGGAATTGGCAAAGAACAAAGCACCAGGAATTGATGGAATCAAGTGAAATCTTTCAAGAAAGTGAGGTGGCACAGGATGCACTCACTCATCTCTGCCCCAAAATTTGGAAGACAGCTTTCTGGCCAATTGATTGGAAAAGATCCATATTTGTGCCCATTCCAAAGAGAGGTGACCCAACAGAATGCAGAAATCAATGGGAAAACTCTTTGATATCCCATGTGAGTAACGTTTTGCTAAAGGCAATACAGAAACGGCTGCAAGCATACATTGACATAGACTTCCATAGGTTCAAGCAGGATTTAGAAGATGCCGAGGAATGAGGGATATCATTTTTGATGTCCACTGGATCTTGGCTGAAAGCAGAGAAAATCAGAAAGATGTTTACCTGTGCTTTATTGACTACACAAAGGCTTTCGATTGTTTGGATCATAACAAGCTATGGACAACATTGAGGAGTATGAGTATTCCAGAACACTTAATTGTGCTCATGAGGAATCTGTACTTAGACCAAGAGGCAGTTGTCCGAACAGAACATAGGAACACTGAATGGTTTACAATTAAGAAAGATGTATGACAGGGTTGTGTTCTTTTACCATACTTACTCAACCTGTATGCTGAGCAAATAATATGAGAAGCTGGGTTATATGAAGAAAAACATGGCATTCAGATTGGAGGAAGACTCATTAACAAGCTGTGATGTGCAGATGATACAACCTTGCTTGCTGAAAGTGAAGAGAACTTAAAACATTTTCTGGTGAAGATCAAAGAGCATAGTATTTGGTATGGATTGCATCTCAATGTAAAGAAAACAAAAATCCTCACCACTGGACCAAGAAATAACATTCAGTGGAGAAAAGATTGAAGTTGTCAACGACTTCATTCTTCTTGGATCAACTATCAACACTCATTGAAGCAGCAGTCAAGGAATCAAACGATGTATTGCATTGGTTAAGTCTACTGTACCAGACTTTTTTAAAGTGTTGAAGAGCAAAGATGTCAGCTTGAGGACTAAGGTCCGCCTTTCCCAAGCCATGGTATTTTCAATAACCTCATATGCATCTGAAAGCTGGACAGTAGATAAGGAAGACTGTAGAAGAACTGATGCATTTGAGTTATGGTATTGCAGGAGGATACTGAAAGTTCCATGGGCTGCTTAAAGAACCAATAAATCCATGTTGGAAGAAGTGCAGTCAGAGTTGGCCTTGGAGGCCAAGATGGCCAAACTTTGTCTCATACTTTGGACATATTGTCAGGAGGAACCAGTCCCTGGAGAAGAATATCATGTTTGGTAAGGTGGAGGATCAGAGAAAAAGAGGAAGACCCCTAACGAGATGGATTGGCCAAGTAGCAGCATTGATGAACTCAACCGTGGCAACAATAGTGAGGTTGGCCCTAGATCGGGCAGTGTTTTCTTCGGCTGTGCATAGTGTCGCAATGAGTAGGTACCGACTCAGTGGCACCTGACAACAACAACAACTCTTCATAGTATTCTGTTATTATCCTTTTGATTTCGTTTGGTTCCATTGTGACATCGCCCACATGGTTTCTAATGTGACTTATTTGTGTCCTCTCCCTCTTTTCTTTTTTAGTTTTGCCAATGGTTTTTCAATTTTATTAATTATTTCAAAGAATCAGCTTTTTGTCCTGTTGATTCTTTCTGTGATTTTTCTGTTTTCCATCTCATTTATTTCTTATCTTTATTATTTCTTTTCTTTTGGTGACTGTAGTCAGTTCTGACTCATAGCAACCCTGGACAGGGTTTCCATGGCTGTAAATCTTTACAGGAGCAGAATGACTCCACGGCACATAACCACAACCACTGTTGAATTTTGTTCGCTTGTATTTTGTTGAAGATTATTACATCTGTATTCATAAGAAATACTAGCTGTAGTTTTATTTGTTTTTTTTTGTGGTGTCTCTGTTTGGTTTGAATAACAATGTTATTTTTAATTCATAGTTTGGATTAGGGAGAACATTCTACTTTAAATCATTTAGTGCAGGAGTCTCAGGCCTAGGACAGAATCTAAGCCAAAATTTGCTTAGAACTTTGACATAATGTTTTGCTTTTTTTCTTAATTTGAAAAACTTTTGGTACAACATATACTTCAATTATTTTAAAATCTCTACCATTCCCTATTGTCTGATAGGCCCATCCAGTGCAAATGTTTATGTTGCATGCTTGGACCATTAAGTATTTGTATTTAAATGTACAGATACCATCAAAATCATCTCAAAATCATGAAAATATGAATATCTAACCTGTATGAGGTTCATGGACTAGTGTTGAGAGAATTAGTAAAACACTTATTCACTGTGGCCATCATCTGGCTGACTGTTATCAGGTGTCAGTAAGCATGCATCAGTCTGTGATTAAAGCTGAATTACTTTGATGTGATTGTCTTTGTAATTGAAAGTCTCTTTTAGCCTGCTTGTAACAAAGATGAAATTATTACAAATGACAACCATTTTTCATGGTGTTTTGTATAAATCATGTATATAACTAAGTTTTTTGTTGTTGTTATTGTTGTTAAGTGCCATAGAATCAGTCTGACTCATAGCGCCCCTATGTAGGGTTTTTGAGGAGTGGCTGATGAGTTTGAACCTCTAACTTTGCAGTTCAAACAGACCTACGATTGAGTGCTTATCCTTTAGCAGCAAGCAAGGACTCCATAAACTAACGTTAGATCTTATTATTCATATGGGGAAAGAGTATCTTTGTATCTTTTCCTTAGAATTCTTTAGTAGCAGATAAAGTATGAATTTAGAGGAATATTTATTTGGAAATTACATATTTATTAGAATGTCTATCGCTTTTCATAGTTAAAAATCAGTAATAGTGAATAAGAAAATGAATAATTCCTGCTTTTAAAATTAAAATCTAGGAAAACTATCACGACTACTTTTCACAGATATTTAGTATTCTTTTCTTTTATCCATACCAGACTTTACTTCGACCTCTTCAAGCTTTATGCTCTTTCCAGCTTCAGCATGGTGCTCAAATTCGCCTCAGCAAGGAACATCTTCTGAAAAATGGAATATATCCTAAACCCATGCCAAAGAATAAACGCAAGCTCAGGAAAATGGAATTGTTAATGAACAGTGTTAAAATTTAGAGTGATTTTTCTTATGGTGCTAGTTTACCGTCTTCAGCTGACAATGTCAAGTTACTTGGACTCTGTGGGTTTTTTACTGTTTATAAGAATGAAAGTTGTATACTACTTTTTCCCACAAGAAGGAAGTAAACCAAATAACCAGGAAAACAAAATAAGACATCCCTGTCTCATTGAAAACCAAGATTTCTTACTTGTATTTGTTTTTTTTAAATGTGTCTCTAATCATTTTTTTTCGAATTGCTATTCTAAAATGTGACTAGTAGTTGGTCTGAATTAGGAATTGCTTATGAAACAGAAGGAAATCGATGTGCCTGACTGGAAGTAAGATTGTTTCCACTAATGTTTATTGGTAATTTGGAATTTGGTAGAGAACTATAAGAGAGGATACCTACATAGTTTTGCAATCTTGTTCATGAACTTTATGGATTGAAGTTAGTAACATAAGAAAATAATGATAATAAAGTAGTTTAGTTCTAATGTATTCATTTTAATAAAATAATACAACCAAATAAGGAAATTGTTTATTCTTTAAGGACTAAACTTAAATTCAGCTAATGTGGCTTAAGTGTTCTACTAATTAATTAATACAATTTGAAATACCCACATATTCATTTGCAACCACTCTGGTAAGTTTTTATTTTCCAATATTTGTTGAAAAAAATTATTGACTAAATTTATAAACCAGTTTAATTGAGCTGGTTTAATTTTATTTCTGTAACTAGGGCATCACTTTTTTTTTTAATTGGCAAAAAATTTTTAATTTGAGAGAATCATTTCTTTCCCACTTGGGCAAATATTCAATGAGAGTTTGTATGTAATAGGAGACAGATACAAGGGGACTTTCAAAAGTTTGTGGAGAAATGGAATTAAAAGATAATAGAGTTTTTCTGTGAAATTTTTGAAGCCTCCTCATACATAATGTACATTTTATATTTAATTTAAATTTACTGCAATTATGTACACATTTTTGCCAAGAAAATTCCCCTTTTGCTTTGTTCTTTATGATGCCTATAATTTCTAGAATCCAGTCCTAAGTTGTAAAGACCAAAATATGCAATTTAAGGGTAATCTTTATATATATTTTATGTGTGTGGTACATAAGCATGTAAAAATAATTACTTCTCACATTTCATACTCATTTGTATGTTTATTATTGACCTGAATTAGTCCCTTATTAAAAGCTGTAATGCTGGTCACAATTAGAATGCTAATGGCTATTTGGAGAAACTATGAAAAAATATTTTAAAATATTAAACAGAAATTAGGTTTCTTTCTTCCACTGTTGACCTTTTTTAAAATTTAAAAACAAATTAACACAATTATAATCTAAACCACAATACTAAATGCTTATCTAGGTATAATACTAAAGAAATAATGTGTAATATATGAAAATAAGTCAAAGTATTACTGCAAAATCATAGAAATCTTTATTAAACAAAGATATAAAAATGTAAAGTAACTGTTTCTCAACATATCCTCCATCTAGGCTTATACACTTCTGAAAGTTGTGTTTCTCTCTCTCTAATCCTTCCCTGAAGAATCCTGTGCTCTTGGACTTACACATCAAAATGGCAGTTTTAGTTTCTTTAAGATACTCAAATCATATTCCTTTGAAATCTTCTTTGAATTTGGGGAACAAAAGAAGTCTGATGGGGCAAGGTCATGGCTATAGTATGGATTTTATAAGGTTTCCCAACAAAATTCTCATAGTACATCCCTTATTACACTCAAAGAATGAGCAGTAGATACATTGTTGTGATGGACACAAAAATTTCTCAGCACATTTTTTCCTACCAATGCAGTTTTCAATTTTTAAAAACATCTTCCTGAAAAGCCTCCATTGATCATCCTGTGTCCTTTGAAAAAGCTATCGAGATTATTCCTTCAGAATCAGTTGCTGTAACCTGCGCTGACCTCTGCCTTGAATTGGCCCACCAGATCCCTTTAGAAGCCATGTTTTGATTGCATCTTTTTTTGAAAGGAGATTAGGAATAAGACAAGTGTATTGCTGAGAGAACTTGTTCACAGCCATCCACTGATGACAGAGATATGTTTAAACATGTTTTAGTTGGAATAATTCTGTTCATTGTATGAATTAGAACCCTAATATTGTTGTTGTTAGGTGCCATTGACTTTTAATTGGACATTTCATGGGACATATATTGCTGAGAGAACTTGTGTATATTCATACACATGTCAGAGACATGTTAAACATGTTTGTTTGGAATAAATTCCTACTTGTGTGAACTGGAACCATAGTAGCAATACTTTATTTACCCTCACATACATAAACCTTTCTCAAGGAAATGGATCATGAGGTTGTAGAATTTGGTTAAGTCCTGCACTCATGAGTCAAATTTGCGAGGATAGAGGCTTAGCCTGACTCTCATAGCTTCAGAGATTGATAAACTCATGAAAAACAGATAAGATGGTTGTCGACTTACAAGCTACAGAATCTCAAGATCAGAAAGCAGTACAGCAGGCTGCTCTTTCAAGTTCAAAGAACTGGAGGTCAGGTAATAATTAGCCAAATGCAGCATCCAGATTGAGCAAAAATCCAGAGAGCTTTCCCAGAATATTCATATTTATATTGAATATAGGCCCCACCCCAGAGGAAACTCCCTTTTAACTGATCGACTGCTCAGAAGCAATCTCATCTTGCAGTTGATTGCATTATATCGATTCTCATCACTGTCCATTTGTCATACAGTGGTGGCATGTGTGTTGGTGTGATGCTGGAAGTTATGCCATCAGTATTCTAAATACAGCTAGGTCAACCATGGTAGACAAGTAGTTTAAGGTGAACTTCCAGATTAAGACAGACTAGAAAGAAGGGCAGCCAAACTCCTTCTGAATCATTAGCTACTGAAAACCTTATGAATAGCACCATCTGATACAGTGCTGAAGGTGAGCCGCTAAGGTTGAAAGGCACTCAAAATACTACTGGAAAACAGCTTCCTCCTGAATGTAGAGTTGACCTTAATGATATGAATGGTGCATAGCTTTCAGAAGCTTCGTTTGATGATGGGACATGATTTAAAATAAGAAGAAACAGTTGCAAACATGCATTAATAACTACAATGTAGCATGTACAAGGTATGAATCAAAGAAAATAGGAAGTTGTCAGAAATGAAATGGAACACATATAGATTGGCACTATAGGCATTAATGGTCTGAAATGGATGGGTGTTGGCCATTTTAAATCAGACAATCATATGGTTCTCTACACTGGGAACAATAAACTGAATAGAATTGGCATCACATTCATTGTCAAAATGATAATTTCAAGATCAATCTTAAATACAGTACTGTCTGAAAATAGGATAATATCCATACACTACAAGGAAGACCAGCTAATTCCACTGTTATTCAAATTTGTTCATCAAAAACTAAAGCCAATGATAATAAAATTTAAGAATTCTACCAGTTAATTCAGTCTGAAGTTTATCAACATGCAACTAATATGTGTTGATTATTACTGGTGATTGGAATGCAAAGGTTGGAAACAAAGAGAAAGGATCCATAGTTGGAAAATATAGCCTTGATGATAGTGATAAGAGAATTTTGCAAGACCAATGAACTGTTCAATGAAAATACTTTTTTTAACAATAAAAATGTTGACCAACACTTGTGGCTTGCATGTTGTGATGCTGGAAGCTATGCTACCAATATTTTAAATATTAGCAGGTTCACCCCTGATAAACAGAGCTTCCATACTAAGGCAGACTAGGATGAAGAACATTGCATCACTATTGAATGGTTGTCATTGTTGTTAATTGCCATTGAGTCAGTTCTGACCCATAGTGACCCTGTATAGGTTTCCTGAGGAGCAGGTGGTAAGCTTGAACTGCCAGTTCTTCTTGAACATCTGATTATAGGAACAGCACCTATATGTAACAAAAAAGCAGAAAAGGCTATCAACAATAGCGTCCAGAGCAGTCTCCATTTTCATAACTGTGATATCTGGCCTGTTAATGGCACAATGTGAAATAAGTTCCTTATTTTGATTACCTAATACAAACGTATCATCCTCCAAAGTAGGAAAATTGAGACATTGGTCAAAAACCTTGGTTACTTGTGTCACTGCACTAGCTGCTAATGCTGCATTTGCAATATCTTCCAATTTATTTATTGAAATAGTAGAAATAAAATTTAAATAATAGGATTCATAGAGCCGATTTTGAAGATCCTGGTGCAATCCATCAAAATTTTCTTCAGTTGGCATTATAAATACACTGCAGGAATATCTGAAATGGGATCTCACCCAGAGTGCAAAAGTAGATGCAGAGTGATTCCCATGTCTCTTAGCTCCTTCACAGGTAGCAGAGAGGAGATTATATCTTGGCCAAATCTATCATAAATAAGAACCTTCCATACTGATTCTCCAGTGCTGTTTTTAACATGAGGCACATAGAAATTCAACATATGCTTCAATGCCACTCTCTGTCTTTCCTGAGTACTGGCCACCACTGTCCCATCTTGATTCCTACCATCTACTGCTATAAATAAAATTTTTAGACTGTAAAAATTATGCCATTACTCACCTGTCAGTTTGTTGCACTGTGGTAGCTTCCATGTTGCTGTGATGCTGGAAGTTACTCCACCATTCTTTTAAATACCAGTAAGTTGTCAAGGACTTCATTTCTTGGATCAACTATCAACACTCATGGAAGCAGCAGTCAAGAAATCAAATGATGGATTGCATTAGGCAAATCTACTGCACAAGACCTTTTTAAACTGTTGAAGAGCAAAGATGTCAGCTTAAAGACTAAGGTGCCCCTGACCCAAGCCATGGTATTTTCAATAACCTCATATGCATATGAAAGCTGGACAGTAAATAAGGAAGACTGTAGAAGAATTGATACTTTTGAGTTATAGTGTTGGAGGAGAATATTGAAAGTGCCATGGGCTGCCAAAAGAACCAACAGATCCATGTTGGAAGATGTACAGCCAGAGTGCTCCTTGGAGGCCAGGATGGCCAAGCTTCGTCTCTCATACTT